TCACAGTCATGTGATTCACTTAACAATGATGGCAAAAGGGTTGTAAAATTGGGCATACTCACTTAACAACCATCATGCTTAGCAATGGAAATGTTGAAATGCACTGTGGCCATAAGTCAAGAACTACCTTTACTGGGAGTTCAGGAAAGCACAGATGACAGGACCATAGCAGAAAGCTACTATTGATACTTATAAAACTGGTATAGTATTATTTGTTTGCATAAAATGCTTGCTCATACTTAACTGAACTACAAATTTCTCAGTTAAGACAAAATTCTAGATTTGCACAAAACATTAGCTATAAATTAACTTCACAGGCTGGGTTCATATAATGCATTAAGGATAATGATGATGTTGATGTTGATGTTGATGTTGATGATGATGATGATGATGATAATGATGATGATGATGATGAGATTGTTAATGGTTTGCACAAATGCAGCCTATCAAATATATTTTGGGCAGTAAACGGCAGAATCCTCTTCAGATTACTTTATGATTTTTATTGATTAAGGCAAAAAGTGCAGAATATTATTAGTTGCTACAGAAATGAGTCTCTAATGAAAGTTTATGAAATGACTTTAGCAGTGATATGGCTTTTATTTCTGTACATGAATAATAGAAAGGAGAATGAAATTTCTCGTTTAGGCACTGATTGCTTCTATAATGTTAATGCCTATGCACCCTACTGCATTCTTTTGCAGCTTTTATAGCTGAAATTCTATACACACATAAATGAATTCAATGCTCCATGGATATCTAAGTATAGAACTGCAGCATTAACATACAGCTTGATTTGCTATAGTGATACCTGCATTCCTTTTGAAATCGCATAGTATCTATTGAAAGGAAATAGCATACCACCTGCTATTTGATATTAGTGGCTTTCCACCTTTAACTTTAAGCTATTTCATAACTCAAGGTATGTAGGAGTAAGTGTGTAGGAGTAACATCAAAGAGGAGAGATATGAATTACTAAATATGTAGATTCTAGAATGGAATCATGATGTACTGTACATCATTTCTAATATTTTTTAAACTACTGCCTCTCCTCTTAACACTTTGGTATTTAAACATCAGCAAAAGTTAAAGTATAGTGTGAATAATAGTGACTCTCTTCACATACAACACACATATTGCATAAAATACGACTTCAGCAACAGAGTGGTAAATGCCTGAAATGCTCTACCTGACTCTGTTGTTACATCCTCAAACCCCCACAGCTTCAACCTCAAACTGTCTACCATGGACCTCACCCCATTCCTAAGAGGTCTGGAAAGGGGGCATGCATAATGATAGTGTGCCTACCGTCCCTGTCCTATTGTCCCCATTTATTTGTACTCATTTCATTTGTTCATGTTATGTTTATATGTATACCTGTTACTTTGTACATGTTTGATAAACCAAATAAAATTAAAAATTGAAAAAAAAACATCAAGGCTCACATTGTTGGAAAAGTATCTGATCTCAAAAATGTGCACAGCTATCATTTTTCATGATCATAGCTAGCTGAGATTTTAAACTGAAAAAGAAGGAATAGTATTGTCAAAGAATGAAGTCTGCCAATAATAATTTGTTTATGGAAGAGCAAACATTCTGGTTGGGAGAAAGGTTTAAATAACAAATCAGTATGCACTGGCTACATAAAATCAAGACAACCCCATCCAGAATGAAAGATGGAAAAATCCTCACAACTGATTTGCAAAGGGACCCAAACCTCACAGTGACTCACAGTCTTGCTAGAGTTACATTGAGCTTATTCTTCTTTATCTCAATCCCTGCATCCTCTATACCCTGGGAAAGAACTAAGGCAGCATCTTTTAACTGACAAAATATATGATAACATTGGCACAGATACACAACTGAGTATTATGTGCATACTGATGATACTTAGTCTTGTGCCAAAGGGTGACCTCTCACGGCAGTTTCATGTAGAAATTAAACAAATAATGTTTCCCTTTGACCTGTTTTTCATACTCTCACATCTTCTTCAGCAACACAACTTCTCCAAGGTTTGAGAAAGCGCAGCATGAGTAACAAGTAGAAGAAAAAGAAACACTTCAGGGCAATGGAATGTATTTCATCAAAGCACGTTTCACTGTCTCTGCTGTTTGCCAATGAGAATGTTATCTCTATCACACAAATCTTTTCACGGACATAATCCTAAATCCTCCTTATGAAGCCTACTAACAGATGGCCAGACAAATATATACAGAAAGGACTAAAAACATGGAGAGGGTGGGTACCAACAATTTATTTTCTGTTTATTTCATGTACTGTCAGGGGATATATTTGTTATTCTAGGAGAACAGAGTGAAAATTGTGGTACATGTACCATTCAAAGACTCCATATGTTAGGTGATTCTGCAAGTATAACAGGCTTGAGATTTGTAATGGATTTCTGAACGACCAACCCATCTCATGTGCAAGATAAAATACCCCATATATTTACAGATCTGGATTTTCCCTTGGTGGGGATGGAGGGACCATAATTTCCTTTCATTTGTTAGTGGGATGAAAAGCATCCTTAAGGGCAATTTTNTTAAGGTTTTTTTTTCACAGAATAGGTAGTTTATTCAATGGCCTAAGCAAAACATTCAAATCTAGAGTTTTATTCTTCACTGTAGTCAAGGTAACCCTTCAGGGGCTAAATATTTTTCTAATTTGTTCTAGCTGCTGAATAAAGAATAGAATATTCTATAGCGTATAATCGATTGTATTCACTTTCATGGGAGCACCCATGGTTCAGGGAAAAAAAAAATCTGGCTTTTTCATAAGGTAGAATAAAAAAAATGGATCCTTCATCCATTTCACCCAGCTAATTTCATCCATCAAAACATCACATAGATTTTTCAATAATATTGAACAAAACCCCCCAAATGGAGTACTTTAATTAAAGAAAAGAACATATTCAACTTTGTTTCTATGTGGAAACTTTTTCTAGGTTTTGTGCTTGAGATGGAAAAAAAATGAAAATTTGACTTGGGTTTTGATGATTAGTTAGGTTTGTAGTTAAAGAAATGGCTAGTTCATATTAGCATGTAAAAGTAAAATGGTGTGCCTGTAATGTTATTATCCTATTCTAAACAGAGTTGGAAGTCAATGCTTTTCTTTCTTTATCCTTCAAAACCCTTTTTCCTCCCCCATTTTCCCACTATTTTCATTTTCTTTTTCTGTATTTTATGTCCTGATAAACTTAATTAAAAATTTATTAAATAACCAAAATCCAAAAACAAGAGTGCAGCCCATGTGCTCCAAACATGTTGAAATTCTACACCCAATGTTACAACACAGATGAAAATCAATTGGATTTTATACAATATCCTTTAATAGCTTCATTGTCCACCACTTTCTTGCAGCTCTATCTTACCATTTTCCATTTATTTTTCCTTTCTTCAAGCTACTTGATTAAATATTTATCTAATTCACTTAATTCAGATCCATCCTTAATATCCCCAGGGGGAAAGCTCATAGTAGATCATGAAAGGAATGAAACTCATTCACCATATGTGCTAAATAAGCTCTATCACTTGTGAGGTACAGGGTCTAGATGTGTCATTCCTTTTCATTCATAATCAATTGCTTAAGTTGTTTACAAGAAGAGGAAGAAATAGCCACAGTTAAATAGACCACTTTAAGAATGAACAAATCTTAAAAATCAAGAGGTTTTCCTCTAAAATTGATAGTTGCAATTGAAAGTATTCTAGGGAAGAAAGAGATAATTGGAAACAAAGGTTTGATGCAAAACAAAAGACAAGAAAAAATATTGCAACATCAGATTCATCCTTGTAAATATTTGAATCACTCCTTGTCCAGTAATACATCATTGTAATAAAAATGTTGCTGGTTTTTCCACCTAATATACAGAGAAATTCAGCAGCATTTGTCTTACAAATATGTGCCTCTTTTAAAATCTAATTTCCGCTTCATCCAAAAAGAAATGCCATTGAATGAAAGGACAGTGTGGTGATAGGTTAAAAAGCTGGGTTAAATAAGGCACCCAAGTTCAAGTTTATTCTCCACCAGGAAATTAATTCAGTGATATTTGACTAATTATTCTGTCGCAACCTAGGGATTGATGTAATGTGAAAAATTGAAGGAGGAAATGTGTGCTTGCCATGTTTCCTCTTGAAGACAAGGTCAAATATCAATCTAACAGAGATATATATCATCTGGTTTATTTAATAATATTTAATCTACATAGTAGCACTAGCAATTTGACTCAAGGATGGAGAATCTGAATCCTAACTCCCAGTAGCCCCAACTGGCATGACCCATGGTAAGAATGTTGATGAAATGGTAATCAATGAGAACTGAAAAAACATACTATCCCATTCTCAGTGGTTTTAGCAAATAACTGATATGTTGTTGCTGAAGGATGATGATGGTAAATTCAAGCACTACTATAAATGGTCTATGACAGGGGTGGGTAACTATGCTCCTTTACAACTGTGGCTTTCAAGTCCAGAATCTGTGAGTCATCATGGCTGGCTCAGGAATTCTGGGAGTTGAGATCATTAAGGGGTCATAGTTGTCTATCGCTTAGTTTATGGAATAATAGGATAATTGAACTTTTTGGTTAGCACTCACTCACCTCCTGAAACAGAAATAGGGCTATTTCTAATAAGTGCTGTACAATATAACAATGTAG